AAAACAGTGCAATTTGGGTTCAAGTAGATCATAAGGTTGACGGAAACTCGGGGACTGCGCCTACCTGATGAGCCCCAAAAAAGGCGAAACCGCTCGTGGGCTGTCACAGAGTTTTCAGCGACCTTGTGAGTAGTTTTCTTTATGAAAAAAGGTGTAGAAGCTATTTGGAAAGATCTGGGTGCTGTCAGTACGACCAGACCTCCAGAGCGGGTTACACTCATGTCCTGCTGTTGGCAATTAACCAACTTCAGTCGGACTCCTGTTGACAGATTCTATCCGGAGTGTCTGAAGATGAAGACATCTTGGAAGCACTGAATTAACCTAGCACAGGGTGAAATGCGATGGCAATTCTTATCAGGGAAAAAGTGACCCTGTGCTAACGACGAAAATGGTGATGGTTATAATGAAAATGATGAGGGTGGCTGAGAATGATGGTGATGACGACGATGTGAGGAAGACGGGTGTTGATGAAGGCGACGAGGATGATGATTCTGGTGATCCGAATGTCAATGATATGGATGTTGTTGATAATGATGTCGATGGTGAGACCTTGTTATTCTGACAGATCGATGGACCCTTTTTTCTGTCGCTAAATCCCACATCCAAACTAAAATGACTACTTTTCTTCCTACCTTGGTCATTATTCAGCATGATCTGCTAATCGCATTTTCGAGCTCACAGAGGAAAAGTTGCACTCTGTCAACCTGTCACCTGGAGAAAGAGCTAGGATTTCCCTGAACAGTTGCACTCTGCCAACCTGTCACATCAAACCTGGAGAAAGAGCTAGGATTTCCCTGAATCAGCCAGTACTGACAGCTAAAGCATGTATAAGCAATAAGTAATACAAAAGATGGCAGAAATGTGATATTTGATGAGCTCTGATAAAAGAAAAACTCGATTTTAGTACTTTCCCGCCCTGGTTTAGACTCACCAAGATGTGAGGACGATCGGTGGGAAGGCCGAAATTGTAAAAGTTAGAGAATGTTTCCTATTCTCTGTTTGACGCGCGTCAAGCGTCAGATTTATCATCTACTAGGAGAGGGGAAGATCTTGATGTGGTATGCGCTAGCAATCATTATGCTTGTCTGATTCCCGAGATTAGCAGTGACTTTCCACAGATAAAAACATGCAATTCTCTGCATCAAGCGTAACTCCACGGTCTAACTGCATAGTATCTGTGAATGTCATAATGTACAACGTCACCTTGCTGAAACTACTCACACCCTCAATTAGTAGCTTAGTTCAGATTTAGTCTGTGGGACTCAAGCGGAATTCCCGGTCTCGACTCTCTTTTCACTGTGACGACTTTGCCACACGCTCCCTGGAATGAAACCATTCAAAGTGAAAATCACGCGTGGATCATTTGCGGCTTCTGTTGATTTCCGTTCTGGCATACAAATTATCTTGGCGACCTAATTGTGACGCAGCTGACCTCTAGGTGTTCCGAGAATGCGATCGATCTCATGAACTAAAGCTGTTTGGAATGTTTAAAACATCCTTCCGAAACATTCCAGTAACACAAGAGAATTTTGTCCTCAAGGTCATCGTGTCCATAGCACCGAAGCAGACAGAACCAAAGCCTAGTTGTCTGATGTGATCACTGGAAAACGTAATGCGACGGGGGAGCGTTGAGCTCTAATCGGCGCCCAACATGGGGGATGGAAAGATTCACTTGATTTTTTGGCGATCTGATATGGTAAGCTAATCTTAAGTCCCTCTCACGTTCACTGTTACTCTTTTCTTTACAATAAGGCTTTCAAATAAATCATGGTTGTACGGTAGTAAAGCATCGGTACTGGACACTGATTTCATGATGTCGATGATGATGATGATGATGATGATGATGATGATGATGATGATGATGATGATGATGATGACGGTAATGATGATGATGATGATGACGGCGATGATGATGATGACGACGACGATGATGATGATGATGAAGATGATGATGATGATGATAATGATGATGATGATGATGGCGATGATGATGATAGCGGTGATGATGATGGTGATGATGATGAAGATGATGATGATGATAATGAATTTACGCAACTCACACTGAATAAAAAAGTACAAGTCCTCTGGGATAAGACCATTCAGACCTTAAATATCTTGGGCACATTCTGCTGAGATGAAGCCCGGTGGGCAAGTTGTCTTTAATCGCTGAAACTCCAGCCTACATAGCTTCCTTTAGTTCACAACCGGGATTTTTCAATATCGGAAAAATGTCAGCTTCTGTTCATTGACTTAAATCAACGAACATGAATCATGTCATGGTTGGACAGCAATTTTTAGTAAAATAGTACGTAATGTCACCTATAAAAGACTTCGTGTTGCCAGGACTTTGTCAGAACTTATGGAAACAATATGGTATTTCCCGCCCACGTCAGACCTCCAGTTGGATATCGTTGGGTACCTTACAACATCTGTTCATTGCTTTAACAAAATTCATAACAAACGCGTCACGCGATAAAAACTTGGGAAATGTAAAGAAAATTTCGTTTTTATACTACGTCATACACAAATCTGGAATCTGGACAGTCGGATTCTCCCACATTCTACTTGTTTCTGTTGTAAATCCCACATTAAGCGGTACGATTTGTGGACTACCTCGACAAGTTCCCGTTCTGGGGGTTCTTTCTGTAAGCCTCGGTCGTTCGGAGCCTCACTGTGTGCTACTCGAAGTAAGTGGAATAATCCAGATTCCATCAGGTTTCCCAAACCTGGACAGGAGCAGTTGGTTGTTTCGAAACATGGACCTTACGGTCACGGTGCGTTCGCACGCTGACCACCGTTCTCTCTCTCCTTCCACCCGTATGCGGACTAACTCCAATTGAATTGCCTTTGGTTGAACTAAGGCTAGAACAAGCCAAACTATTGAACTGAAAAGCGGTCTTGTAGCGTTACCATTTCAACATTGACAGTCGAATAATACGTCAAAAACATTTCACCGTCACTGACGTTTGCCAAGCTCAGCAGTCCACAACTGGTATTTTTGTGTAAACCCCAATCAAAATCAGAACAAACACTGTGATGTACCGACATAAGCATCGTCATTGTCCCAAGATTTACTCTTTAAATCAAGCCGGTATAAAATCCATTTTTGTGAGGGATAAGGTTCTGTCCACAACTGTCTTTTGGTGGCACATCACAGTTCATTTATTCACTTCCCACGCTTGATACCACGCTGGCCATTTCATCATAGACACACTGTAGATGAGAAAACAGTTTTATTATTAGCGGAATACACTCATTTACAAACCAATTTGGTTTTGTGAGAGACTCACCTGGAACTCAGGGGAATCTCTCACTTGTGACGTTTCCAAGCAACTGAATATGCTTCACCAGGCCACCTCATGTTTCAGCCACTACGATATTGGAGATGTCGCGATATATATATATATATATATATATCTGTGTAGTCGATAAGAAATGTACTTTGATAGTGGCACTTACCATTAGATGAATTTTACGAGGGAAAGGGCTGCATTTAAATGCCACATCTGACAACTCTACTTATTTGGCTAGCGGAGAATAGACTGTATTGCAGGGCATATATAAATATACATACTTCACTATCATTTTTCACGGCTTTATACTGATAAAACACCAGCATAGGCTAGTAAGATGTCTGAAAGCCAAAGAACTTGTAAGAGTTACTTGCTGGACGCACGACAAAGAGACCTAAAAAACGATAAGAAAACTAATACAGTAGACTGGGGGCCGGAATCGGATCACTTTATTGATGGGAAACTCCAACAAAGTAAGCGTAACTACCAAGTGGAGCGAAAAAGGAGATGCCAGTTTTACCAGTCGCCTTACAAAATTTCCTGTACAGTCGCTATGTAAGCTACCTTTAAGGCAAGTCGGTTACTTTTGCATACAATAAATATTTGATGTTGATTATATTCACGTGCACCTGCTCGTTTAGACGTGATGCACCGTTTGGTGATTACACAACAGTGTATGTTCCTAGCCACACAAAACGGCTCCGCTCATGCACACCTTATTGAACGACCCATGACTTAAAGAGAGTGTTTTTCTCAATTCTGACAGATATGGGCCACAAGACAAGCTTTCAGTATTATCCGTTGAGTCAAATGTGAACCCTCCAAAGATGTGATTACATGCAACCGAAGGTGACGGGTTGCTCCCACAAGGCCAAGCAGGGACACGGATTTATTGTGATGTGAACTAGGCGCATTGGTGATTATACAAAAACAGTTGTTCATTTTCTTTCGAGTGTCTCCCGGCACAAATACCCCATAGACTGAAGTGGTATCTGGCAACGTGTTAAAACCTGGCTCGCTGCTTCAATTGGTTGTTGGCCAGCTGCAGCTAAAGAACCGGCATTTTTGATCACCCGAATAGTCACTTCCTGACCTATATAGTTTTTTAAAAGCTTTGCATCAACATTCAAGCGCTGTAACTTGTGTCCTTTGAACTTGACCTGCAATCAATTTGCAGCGCACTTATTAGCATTTATTCTCCCTTTCATGGGATTCTAAAAACTGCAGCAGGTCTTTGATCATTAGGGCTTCTTTGAACCAAATGATTGGTCAACTAACAGTGCTTGTCTAATTGTACGCTTCTGTCGCGGTTTTCTATTCGTTTTATTCTAACAATCTGCCTCTGACCTTGAAACTAGCAATTTAGTATGCCCTGTCCTTCAGCTTCAAAGGTTAAATAGAAGGATTAGCAGGGCATCTCAGCTTAAAGCTATATCTTCGTCATCCCAAATCCAACCAATGTGCAACTATGAGGAGTCTTTTTTAATTCGTCTCATGTGAAATTGTAAAGATTTTACAATCATCAGTAATCTTGGAGTGTTCCCAGTGGCATGGATGTCTAGTGTTTTGAAAAATATCCTTCATTGATGCCGGTGCCGCGCAGTCTTTTCTTCGGCCTCTAAGTCTATCGTTCAGCTGTAACACCTTTCTGGTGCCTGTTTGCCATGCTACCCGAAGGAATCGCGAGGGCTCGGATAGTGCTAGGTTTCCAAAGCCTAGACATGGAAAGTTGAGAGAGAGAGAGAGGTCGGGTTCGAACCACGGACCTTCCGGACAGTAAATTCGCGCTGTAACCACTTGAGCCATCTCGCTCCCGCTAAGCCAATATGCACTGCTCTAACCTGTTTGGTAACTTATTACCGCATTTAAGAGTTGCCGGACTAACCAGCTTTAATGTCATCGTTACGTATGGTGTATACGTCTCACTCTGCCTTTTCGAATGCCTTACTCTTAGTTTGAACATCTTGAGAGTGGCTTCAGTGAGTTTTAGGAAAGGTGCGCAGCGCAAGGATAGAAGAAAAGCTGTCACTGAAAATGCAAATATAATTGATTTATTTGTTGTATCAAACCAGGCATATCTGTTTTTTCAGAGTCAGGAAAATCTCCATGCCAGTGTACTGCGTAAGGAAAGTCTCGAAATTTCCAAAATCCGTTTAGATTGACGAAATGTAGCTGCTTCTCAAGCATAAATCAGAACAATCATGAAAAAAAAGAAAACCTCTTGCTAACAGGTGTAAATATGCAGTTTTAAGCTCATACCGCAGTTTGCTTTGGAGGAATTAGATTGAATTCAACTCGCGCGTTGTCGTACACCTTAAGATGGCTTGTAAAGATGGGGCAGTATGTTTGTTCAGTCCATTCAAAGTAACCCCAATAGTTGTCCTAAACTGTGGATTATTTACAGTCGGGTAGCCTTAGCCACCACAATCACCAATCTTATCATTCTCTCAGCCGCAAAAGTCATACTTAGTAAAAGGGTCCTTCTGCTCTGAGTTGCTAAAATCTAAATTCTAACCACTGTAAAGTAACTGTGATAGGTAGCCATTTGTCTGACGATAAGAAAATGTTGTAACTCAGTCTCCGTCTCAACTACACGTATACCGTAGTTCTGACAATGCTACCGCTATACCTAGTGCCAATTAAATGGAACGTGGATGCCTGCAACTTTTAGTCTGTGACGACTGCTGTAGGGACTCAAGCTCTATTCAGGTAAAATAACTGCCAGTTACGTGTTTCACGGGTGCTGTTCAGGAAACGCGATCCGTGGCGGGAATTTATAATCTACGCAACGCGTAGATTAACTAGTGACTTGTTATTTCTGTAGATCCTAATTATGACAAATACTTTTAAAATTTATCTGTATATAGTTTAATTTAGTTGTGAAGCCTTCACTGAAGTCTTTACGGTTGAAATAAACCAGTGATGCTTTACTGTGGAAAATAAAAAACACTACATTTCTTTTCTGGTTATCATCTGAAGACCTAAGACATTAAAGCTGAGCCATTATCTATTCAGAAAAACTGCTATATTGCAATTCGGCTCAAGGGTACACTGGGAAGTTCTTGGCTGTTGACACAACACCAGGACCGGTAGCGTTCACAGTCACATGCGTATCACCACATGGTGTAGTACGCACGAATTGATTCTTTATGTTGAAAATAAAAAACACTACATTTCTTACATGGTTATCATCTGAAGACCTAAGACATTGAAGCTGAGCCATTATCTATTCAGAAAAACTGCTATATTGCAATTCGGCTCAAGGGTACACTGGGAAGTTCTTGGCTGTTGACACAACACCAGGACCGGTAGCGTTCACAGTCACATGCGTATCACCACATGGTGTAGTACGCACGAATCATGAATCCAACCCTTTGTACATAATGTTGTTGAGTCAGCACTGAGAATGAGCACCAAAGCTAGATATAAGATACAAAACAACGCTTGACCACTGGTGCATAATGATCAACTAATGGGCAATGGGCGTAATAGGTGGTTTTGAGGTTCTCGTGTTTTTCAGGCATTGTCTCTGTCAGGTAATTACAGAGCCAAATCATCAAACTCGTCTTTTCAAATCAGGATCTACTCATTCCACCAGTTCAATACCCAAATTTGCTAGACTGAAACTAAGCAGTTTCAAAATGGCATAATGCGCCATTAGGAGCCGAAAAGAGAGAGGAAAAGTAGTCTGCAAATTAAAGTTGTGACAAAAAAGTTAGCATACGCAGTACGTGTGGTAAAAGGTGTGCAATAAATTATATTTTCGTTTCACTCAGTCTTTCAAGTATAACAGGCAATGCGCCCTTCAAAACTTGGCCATCACATAGATATCTTCAACTCTGGTTTGCTTTTAAATATATAAAAATACTAACATTTTTATATGCTGTTTATGTGCTGCTTATAAACAAGATTTGTACTGGTGGCGCTTCTCAACCTTTCAGCTAAACGGAAGAAAGCTCAGAGTAATGGTTTTGATCACTAGATTTCTGAATAGTGGCTGTTTAAGCGGCTAGCACTCTGAAGGCGTCGTTGAAAATCTATGTAAAAATCATCTTCAGAAGTCCGTTACAGCTGTGGAGTGGCTACTCTGAATGTCGTCTACATCCACATTAAATCAAGCGTTGATAGCTGCAAAGACCATCCATTTCACACCACACAAGCTTGAAATCAACGCCGTTTTCCCCATTTTAATGATCGACGGAGATCAATTCAGTAGAACGAAACCGACTATTTATCTCAATCGTTGTATATAATTGTTTATTCTTCACTGATAAGTTGAAAATCTGGAGAAAAGTCAGGAATCTCAATAGTATTGGTGCACGAAAATTGATGTACACGTATAATGCAAGGTTTGCCTGATTTATTTCTTTCCTGCTTAGCACCGGTATTACCGACCACAAATCAGCTGATCTGTGAGACGCGCAAAATATTGCTGGCAATGTGTGAACTCTGGGCCCTCAAGATTCTGTGCAAGTCCCTGGATATTATCCTTCTTATCTTGATGCACAAGACATAATTCGGACAAAGTTTGTTCGCATTGACCGTGAACGTCACAGACCAGTTGATTTTCATTAAGGTTTCTCACAGCAGTAGCAGTGTACGCTCTGGCTTATGGTTGGCGCAAGGGGCGGTACGCAGCTTTTTGTCTGCTTTTTAATGCAATATTCGATGTCTCTTTTCCAAACTGAGCTAACAAGAGGTAGATCCTAATCTGTAGTTAAATTATAGGCAGTTTTACTTTGGAAATACGGATTTGGTGCTATCTTTAGATTACCCGCAAATTCGGTGTTGCTTCACTTAACCAAGGAGGAATTTTTATATCGATGCTGAAACGTTGGGTTCTAGCACCCATCCACGGGCCTCTTCATCGTCACCGGTGACCGTTACAGAACGTCTCATTCATCCCACTGATGTAACCTTGACTTTGCTGGAAACCGGCTGCCTCGTATACCATGGATACTGAGAAGTTACTTTCCTTGAAAGAGTTTAAGTGACCCTAGTGGTGTACCCAGTTGAAAGTCTTAATTAAGCATCTCCCCACCAGTGTATTTATCAAATTGATCTGGTCCACTTTTTACACGGAAGCAACTAGTTCTTAGCTCACATTTGATCTACTAGAAACCTTCGTTGTTCCTGTGCTTGCTAAGGGCTAGTCACAAAGGATCACTGCGGGAATATCTTATCTCATCTCTCAAGAAACTTTCTGGTTCCTAAAGTAGGGCCAACTTCTCAGTAATCGGCCATCTTCTGTTCGACTCCACTTTCACAGAATGACTCAATGATGGTTGGTTCCTGTTCAGCTTCCTATTTGTCGATACCAGTTAGTGACACTCGAGTTTTGGTAAGTGAGCAACGCGTAGGACCCGTCAGGTTCATGAGTTCATATTTGCCTGAGTGCCGAAGAGTTCGGGTTATTTTGGTCTAATTTCAACCACTTTATCAGCCATTTATCACTATCGACCGGCACCTTTGCCGAATCTAAAGAATGTCATACTGTACACCAGGTATGAACAAACAAAGACGTTTGCTTTAAATCAACTTCCACATTCTATTTCGCTTCACTACTGCTGCGATAATACTTCCGTTGGTGCAGAAGAAACCCCAGCGGCGCTGGTTCGCCGCATTCTGTATTGATGTGAATTTATGTACAGCGCAAAGGTGTTTTCAGTGCACTTCACACATCGCGAATCTCCTTGTAACTGTCGCAACCACATCCTCTACCTTACGCCTGGTAGGTGCAGTGCAGACTCTGTAGCACTTGTAAACTGCTCTTTTTCATGCTCAGTATCATCTCCTTTTTCCCCAT